CCGGGGCGTCGGCGGCCTGATGGAGTAAGAGGGTCGGCTGGAAGTGTGAGTATGCGGTGGCGGGCTGCTTTGAGGCATATGAGAGCCCCAGGGTCCGGTGGTCTGCCCCTTAGGGAGGGCGGGGGCTGCAGGGCGCGGCGGGGCTCTGCTCCTGCGGGCGTGGTGCGGGGGCAGCCTGGCCGTCCCTCCTGCAGCCTGCGCGCGTCTGCGGGCCCGCTGTGTTCCTGGCTTGGGGGGTACAGATTCTCGCGGGGGCGTTCCAGTCTTGCTTCCCGCCCCAGCGAGAAACGTGGCTGCAGACCCTTGACCTTTAGGGAAGGCCACTGACCTCCTTAAGCCCCCCGGTGCCGCCGGTAGTCCATACATCCAGGTGCTTAAAGGCCCGCGGGTCCCAGGCCACGGACACCTTTCGACCTCTTGCGACTGTTAGTCTCTGTTGTTGTTTTGCCTTCCTTCCGTTTTCTCCCCCAGTGGCATGCATTTTAATAACAGAATTATGGAGCGCTTACTATGTGTCAGTTTAATGTTTAATCCAAGCCTCGTGCATAATAATAGAGAGAAAATGCTTTGTCTCCTCCTCTCCCCTCAGTCTGCTCCATTTAATCATCTTTGAGAGAATGATCTTTTGAGAGTCTGAGGTTAAGTCATCCTGGGACGTTTGAGATTTCCACGGCTCTTAGCAATTTGGGACTGCCATTTGGTCAGGGCAAGTTTTTCTTTTAGCTACTAAATGAGTGCTTTATTCACCATAATGGTTTATATATCGAATTAACTCAAGCCAAACTAACTTTTCAGCACTTACTAAGAGCCTAGTATTGTTCTAAATTCCATGGGAAATCTTAAAATTTGTTTTAAGTCCTGTTCTCGAGCTTTGGTAGTAAATGAAACAATGGAAGATAATATTTACATTCAGCTAGGGTTTATTTAGCACCTGTTACACATGTGCCAGTAACACTTGGGTCTGTCACAAAAAATTAATGAGATACTGTAATGGAAGGTGTTTTTTTGGAGCACATTTCAGAGGAGGGCAGAGAGTTTGATGGTAATTTGCTCAAGCTAATTTAGCTAGGGGTAAGTGGCGAAATTCACATACAGGACCCAAGCTTATCTTTTTTCTGCCACACCAAGTTAGATATACTAAGTACTTCTGCTCAGAAGCATCTACATTACAGTTATAGCTTCTAGAGTTAACTACAGGAGTCTAGAAAATGGTAGGAGCCTTTAATGATAGTAGGTAGTTTTTAAAGAGAACTTCACAGTGGCTTGGAAAGAGGTAGAAAGTGTGAAGCAGCCTGATCAGGTTAGTTCAGAGCCAGTAGTTTTGATTAAAATAAAGATGTTTAAAAAGGAAAAACTGAACAGTGTTATTGTACATTTAGGTTAGAGCACAAGTAGTTTGAAGCAAGGGAATAATGGGAGATGTTAGTGGTCTTGGTTCTGGGACAAGGAATGGCTCAGTGAGAAGTACACATATTTTGTAATTTTCGTATCTAAGTGGGAACTTTGGGATTAATTTGTGTACTCAGTGAATAAGAGCACCTAGGCAGACAAGTTACATATGAATACTCCAGTTGCACATCCGCCGTGCTAAATTTCTAATGGAAACCTTAGAGTCAATTAGGTTTCTTAATTTTCAATCTGAAAGAGACTATCAAGAAGTGAGAGTTTCTGGTCCTGGCTGGGTAGTTCAGTTGGTTAGAGCATCATTCCCATATGACGAGGTTTTGGGTTCGATCCCCTGCCACGGCACATATGAGAAGCAACCAATGAATGCATAAATAAGTGGAACAGCAGATCAATGTCTCTCTCTCCCTCCCTAACTTCCTTTCTAAAAATAAATAAATAAATCAAAGAAAAAAAGAAGCGAGAGTTCTTAAGTGTTGAGTCAGTAGTGAACCTGTTAAATTAATGATGCATCTGTTAGAATGATCCAAGGTTCAGGTCAAGATGGGAGCATAGGTTAATGCCATACTGGAATCCTCCCACAACCACATCAAAATTACAACTAAACAACAGAACAGCATCATTCAGAACTGCCTGAAATCTAGCTGAACTGAAGTTCTACAACGAAGAAAATAAAGAAGCAGCCACATAGAGACTAGTAGGAGGGGCAGAGATGCAGAATGGCCTAGTTCCACACCCACGTATGGTGGATAAAAAATCAGGAGGGCTATCTGGCTGCTGAAGTCACCCCTGAGGAGTGAGGGGATCCCAGCCTCACACCAGGCCCCTAGCCCAAGGTTCCATTTCCAGGAATAGAAGTTCCCATAACTTCTGGCTGTGAAAACCAGCAGGGATTGTAGCTGAGTGAGACGGAGGGCAGCCGGAGACTCAGGGTTTCTCTTAAAGGGCCCGCTCACAGACGACTTGCTCTGAGCCCCAGTCCTGGGACAAGCAGCTCAAAAGGCACCAGGGACATACAGGGAGGAACTGAAGTGTCTGGCTTCAGGGCAAGAGCTGGAGTGGCAGCTTTCAGAAAGACTTGCTGGCAGAAGCCATTGTTCCTTTTCTGAGTTCTCATAGAGCCTGCTGGCCCTAGCAGTATCTGAGTCTCCATCAACCTGGCTCACACTGTTAGCCCTGCCCTGTCGATTCCCTGAGACTCCTCACCCCATCCGACTTGTCGGCCCAATCCAAGCCATTTCCCCTTGGCTTTTCTTTTCTAAAACTCTCAAACAAGTAGCATCTGGTCGTACCTCTTGTTAAGTGGCTCCAGGCCAGGCATTAGTGGTAGCTGGCCTCTGCTAGTGGTGCACACACAGCTTGGCTTCTCTTGAGCATTTCCAAGCCCAGCTCAAGTAATGGCCTTGTGCAGATCACTTTGTAGCTCATGCCAGGTGGTCCCGGGCAGGGCACAGGTGGTGTCTGATCTTGGCCTGTACCTCCCAGGAGGTCTCAGAGTCAGTGCACGTGGTAGACAGCTTCAGATCACTTTGAAGCACTACCCAACCACCTCTACAAGTGACACACTCAAGGGGTGCACTTAGTAGAGCCCAGAGCCCTGCTGAAGTAAGTTCTGTTCTGTGGGGTCAACCTTGCACAGCAGATCCTCCACAGTGGTTGCAGCCAGTCTTTTTTATTTTACTTTATTTTTAAAAAAATATGTTTTTATTGATTTAGAGAGAGAGAAACATCAATGTGAGAGAGACACATTGGTTAGTTGCCTTCTGCACACAGCTCTGCCGGGGTCGGGGATCAAACCTGTAACCCAGGTACGTGCCCTTGACTGGGAATCGAACCCACAACCCTTCGGAGCGTAGGCTGATGTTCTAACTGCTGAGCCACACTGGCCAGGAATGCAAATTTTTAAACTGCTAAATAAATACAACAAACTACCCAGTAATACTTTTCTTTCTTTTTTTTTTTTTTTAATCTTTTTTTTAAATATATCTTTATTGATTTCAGAGAGAGGAAAGGAGACGGAGTGAGAGAGACAGAAACATCAATGATGAGAGAGTCATTGATCGAGCCCACAACCTGGGCATGTGCCCTGGCCGGGCATCGAACCCTGATCGCCTGGATCCTAGGTCGATGCTTAACCGCTGAGCCACACCCGGCCGGGCCCAGTAATACTTTTCAAACAGTGTTTGTACAAGCCATCTTTGGGCTTAAGACCTACTCTGTTAAATGATGATAACTTTTGCTAATACTTTTATTTTGTTAGGATTGGTGCTATCCCAGTTTTTTTCTCAGTTATTTTTCCCTTTAGGACATAGTGCTCACCAAGTTTCAGAATTGAGTAAGGAATTGGAACCTGACAGTAGTTCTAAATTCAGGTCTCCCCTGTCCATTTCCTTGCCTGGTAATGGGCAATATGAACAGCTTAATTTCCTTGGGGCTCAACTTTTAATGCCTTTTCTTGAGTCACAGCTTTAACTTTTTATCTTTGTTTCAGTCCTATGCTTACTAATTAAGAGTGGTTGCTACATATATTCCTGCAAAATGTAGTGTTAGGACAGATAATATAAAAAGTAGGAATGCTAGTGAATAGAATGCTTATGAATGCAAGAAACCACCAATCACTTGCTTTGGGAAACAGGAGTCAGCCAGAATTTAGAACTAGCAAATAGAGCAGTTACCCCAGGATAAGTCTTTGAAAGTTGTAGTTATATGTTGATGTGCCCCCAAATACTTCCTGACCTCTGTTGTCAACTTAGCTAGGAGCCTTGAAACTTTCTGGGAGGCCCACTCAGCAAATTGAGGACTTCCCAGAAGTGCCAGTCATACTTTTGTTCCATAACCTTTTGGGCAACCTAGGGGTAATGGCAAAACTTGTTCTATCACTGAACACTCTCTCTGTTCTGTCTTGCTCACGAGAAATCAGGGTTAAGGTGGAGGCATGGAAAGTTACCTGTGGAATTCAAACAAAGGATTCTGATCTGAGTACCACTACTCCCTCCCCACTCCCCCTGCCAAGAAATAATTTTTAAGCTTTTTTTCTTTCGTGTTTTATAGTATATTATTGTCATAAAGAGTCTGAGTTGGCTTTATGTCAAAGTTCAAATATCTTAAGTACTACTGGGTTAACTAATGAATGCTAGAGGTATATGAAAAGACAGATCCCTTTCTCATGGCAAAGCTAGGGAGATTAGACATACCTACTAACAAATAGCCTGTTCTTGTGTATTTCACAGGTTGTTTAAACAGTAGAAAGGGATAATGTAACAATGTTCCAAATAAAGTTCTTTGATACTAAACAGTGTTTTCCAGCTTTGAGCTACATAATAAATATTTGGAGAAATATATATATATTTTTTAATCTACACCTAAGGATATCTTTTTATTGATTTGAGGGAGAGGGAGAGAGAGGAGAGAGAGAGAGAGAGAGAAACATCAATTGGTTGCCTCCTGCATGCTCCTGGATTGGGGATCAAACCCACAACCTTTTGGTATATGAGATGGTGCTCCAACGAACTGAGCCACCTAACCAGGGCAGAGAAGTATTCTGACATTGATGTTTGAGATGGATTACAGTGTCATGAGATAGTGGTTATTTGGAAGGCTGTCTTCCTGACCAGTTTAAGTCACTTTTGAGAAACTACTCC